AGTTGATGTGAATATTCTTGAAATATAGAATGTGTTCTTGGTATATGATACAATTGTATGAGATTATCTTGAACTTTAGTTAAAATATCATTATGTTCATTTTTAATTTGAATGTCTTGTTGTTTTCTAGGACGAAGTGCACTTTGATTTAATCGTATACAAGATGGACCTATAGTAATTTAATAAAATGAAGTTATTTCGAAGTTTCTATACAATATAAATCGTACCTAACATAAGATGATGCCATTCAGATGTAGTAAATGGATTTGAAACTAGATCAAGATATGGTTCAGGTGAAACACTAATCATATTCTTTGTTAATAATGAACGTTGACGATTACGAAGTAGTTTTCCTCGAAAAGAAGGTATTTTATTAGTAATATCTTGTTTCATTCGATTCGTACGATATGACATATATTGATTGATATTATTGAGAAGATTTACATTATCTATATTTGTATTATTATTCGATATGATAGTTTCTAATTGTTTCAATACTTCTTGATATTGTAAATCATATTCTTGTAATTTAGTTTCATGTGCCCATAAATATAGATGTAACCATTTACGTTTTGCTTCTTTTATTATTTTGATACGTTCATTCTTCAATTGAATACTTTTTTGTTCATTATTCAAGGATACAGAATTAATAGGTGAAATAAAATTTTGTAGAAGATTAAAATTTTCTGGTAAGAATTGACAAATAATTCGTACTTCTAACATTAATTGTTCTTCATAGATTTCAGCTTGTTTTTCTCGTATTATAATTAATTGATCTACAATTGAACACTGATTAATTATAAGTTCATAGAGTTGCTTTTCTTGTATACAATCTTTAAATTTAATCAATTGATTTTCAGTATATGTTAATAAATAATTTCTTTCAGAATCAACCAACTCTTTTAAACAATGATCCATTCTATTGAATGACATCGGTAGTATTGGACATAATGCAGAATTTTCAGTTAATTTCACTTGTTGTTCATTGAGCTGTTGTTTGATATCTTCTATATATGTAATAAGAAACTGTTGACATAGGTCAAAATCATTTGTTTTTGTCATCAGAATGAGTTGTTCCTTTGATTGATGATAAGAAAGACAATGAATAGTTATGTATGAATATAAATACTTACTGGCCATTGGTGTTGTTCGATTCCAATTTCTAGATAGGATTGCCATAAATGTAAATCTACTTCTAAACAGTATAATTGATCCAATAAATCCAATCGTTTACGAAAGAAAGTTTGATCATCCTTTTTCTTAATGAAATAGTTTAAACTTTTGCTTAACATTCGATTTAGTATGACTGATGATCTTTTCAAATACATGGGTCGTCTATACTTTTTATTTGTGGTAGATGCTGTCGTTGTAGATTTCTTATTCTTTATTTTCTTTGGTAAAGGTTGTACAATTGATATTGAACTAGTTGATTTAGGTATCACAGATACATCTCGTTTACGTTTATTGAAGTTGAGTTGATCTGTTGTTGTTATTGTTGTGATCCTATTACGAATTTGTTTTCTTTCATTGAGCAATTGTTCGATTATAGCTGATTTCATTCCACGTTTACGACATTTCTTTCTAAAACGTTGATCTCTTCGATTGCCATGACATTTCTTTGTTCGCCGTTGTTGATCCACTAGTTGACGATC